ATCAAAATTCAGGTGCTTGGCAACTGGTTCCTATTTATGATGGTTGCCGTGGTCTGCGGATTATGTGATCCCCTTTCGTGACCTTGTGACAAGCTAAGTCAATGGGGAAATCCAGATTTCCTTAACAACTGAGTTTACTAACTGCAGTGATTCCACTTAAAACCTGCAGCAGCAAAGGTTGTAACATGGGGAAATAGTCTTAAGTCACTTTTTTCAGTGCAGTTGTAACTTCGAACAGTGACAAACGAATGGTTGTAAGTTGAGGATTGTCTGTACACATTAATGCCGCTTTTCTTCTGCCAGTGGAAATAAACCAAGCATACCAGGAACCTTCCGTGTTCAGTCTAAACCAGGATTCCTGATACGTCAGTCCTGTCAAAAATCCACCTTCGTTTTTGCTCCCAACTCCTTTGCTTAAGAATGACAACGCGGAAATCCTGGATCGGTTTTAATACTGAACAAACCAACAGTTGTGTTTATTTCCTGCATCCCTACAACAGGTCAAAGAAATAAAAGCACAGATTTTTAAGCAGAGGCCAAATGGGATCCATTTGCACTAAACAATAAACTGGAATTTCTGCAGCCAGGCAGACTGTGGAAGTGAGCAGAGCAATTACGCAATTACGTCTTCTTTAGCGTTGATTTGTTTTGTTTATGTTACGGTATTTATAACCCATCCCAGTCCCAGAGGACTTCGGGCAGTGGACAATATCAACAGAAATACCCTCCCCAATGAGTCAACAAGGTCAAAACCAATTAATCATGCAAAGCAACGTTAACCTCAAAGAAAACGTGAACCAGGCAACCAAAATCCGAGTGAAATAACATGATTTTTAACCTGTTTATGGAACTGCAGCAAAACGGGGGCTGCATGTATTTCGGGGGAGGTTGGATATTGCAAAGAGTGGAGGCTGTTATGGGAAAGGTTAAGCAATATAAATAACATCTACACCCAACAGTAAGGCTGCTCTTGTAGAGGGGGGCCTTAGTGGGAGGGAGTATTGTTGGACTGCCCTTTACTGGGCAGCCAACTGTTGGAGTGGAGTCTTGAAGATTGTGTAGACCAGGGTCTCCAAGCTTGGCAACTTTACAACTCGTCGACTTCAACTCCGAGAATTCGTCAGCCAGCGTATGAGACTCCAGGTATACACCATCTAATCATAAAGTTTCCATGTTTTGAGAAATATAGTACTGGTATAACAGGGAGGCAGAGGGAAGCTGTATCCATCTCTCAAGGTTCTGTCTACAACAGAGGTCTCCAAACTTGGCAACTTTAAGACTAGCTGGCTGAGGAATTCTGGGAGTTGAAGTCCACAAGTCTCAAAGTTGCCAAGTTTGGGGACCGCTAGTCTACAACAATAAAGTTCCACTCATTCTTCTGGTGTCTGTTTCTTGACCTTATGCCTTAGCTTCGCTAAGATCTCTTCTTCGTTCTTTCCATCCCCCAAATCCCACCAGGGTACGGACAGTGGAACAGCTCGACCAGCGTTATCTTCTAGTGCCCGAGAAGGTTAAAGACGCTTACTTGGTCCACCTTGTGCAAACTTTCCAAGATGAACATGAGGACTGGTCCATCATCATCTTCACTAACACTTGCAAGTGAGTTTTGTCCAGAGCATCTTTGCCTCCATCATTTCTGCTTTCTCTCCTTCTCTCCTGCCTCTTCTTTTGACCCAGAGCTGATATTTCAGTCTTGATGTAAGGACACTGAATAGCATTGTGCCAGTCAAACCAAATGTTGCCCATCAATTCAAATTCAAATTGTTGAGGTTGGTTTTTAAAATCTGTTTTCTTCCCTATCTTAAATCAGGTTGAAAAGAATGGAATTGGGGTGGACTTAGTTTATCTAGTGTACGAGGTTGAACGAGAAAGTGCAGTTTTCTCTTTTCTTACCTTTAATACTTTAAATATCCTGTGTGCCCTGAGTAGACCTCTAGAGTCTAGACATATCCTCTCCTTCAGCACTTCCTGGAAGGATTAGGTCATCAGATATTGCTATAGAAAGTACTGGAGAAAGGTGAGCCTTTCTGGGCAGAATCCAGCACTGCTGTGAGCACATGGCTCACAGTCTAATGTGGTAAGAGTGCACCACAAGAATTCAAGTGAGGTGGATGGATAGATGATGTTCCATCAAGTTTTAATAGTTCCTAGTGACCACACTGATATAGTTTTCTCCAGAATGATTGTCAGGTAGACCTCATCTCGGTAATCCAACTGCTACCATATAATTGGGTCCATCCCCTTTGGCTACTAGTCATTTTCTTTCCTTTCCTTCCAACTTTCCCATCCTCAAAAGAGTTTTCTCCAGAGAGCCGGGTTGTTGTTGCTTAATATACCTGAAGTAGGAAGATTGGAGCCTGAACTATTTGTGTTCAAGTGAAAATTTCAGTTTGATATGGGCCCAAAAACTCCCTGCCTCATTTGCAACTTGATTTAGAAGAATAGGATAGGATAGGATAGGATAGAATAGAATAGAATAGAATAGAATAGAATAGAATAGAATAGAATAGAGAAAATAATTAGAAGGGAAGGGAAAGGAACAGAAGGGAAGGGAAGAGAGTAGAGTAGAGTAGAATAGAATAGAGAAAATAATTAGAAGGGAAGGGAAAGGAATGGAAGGGAAGGGTAGAATAGAATAGAATAGAATAGAATAGAATAGAATAGAATAGAATTCTTTATTGGCTAAGTGTGGTTGGACACCCAAGGAATTTGTCTTGGTGGAAATACTCTTACTGTACATAAAAGAAAAAATACATTCGTCAAGAGTCAAAATTTCATTGTGAGCCAGTCTTTCTCCTTAAGTAGACAACAGAGGGAAGATGAATGCAGCCTCTTTGTTCTGGTGTGTACCTCTCCCATCTCAGTGCAAGGTCAATTTTTCAAAGAATGTTAGTCAAACGGATCCTTATCTATCAAGTTTAATCATTTGCAGCTTCCAAGAATTGCATTGACCAAGCAGTCAAACTTGCCTTGTGACATAACCAGGAGCTGGCGCATCCTTTCGATTAACAGATGCACAGGGCAATGATGTTTCTGAGCAGATGCAGAGCAAAAGACTTGGCAGCCTCCAAAGGAAAAACAGGAGCCTTCTACAACATACAACATAAGGACTGCAACAGCCACTATGTGGGACAAACAGGCAGAAGACTGGCAGAACGCATCCGTGAACCCAAACTGGCATTCAGAAAGCTTGACGAAAATATTTTGACTTCACAAGACATAGACAGCTTTTACCATAGTTTCAGCTGGGAAAATGTGACAATCCTAGACGAAGCCAAATCCAAAAATGCCAGGGAATTTCTAGAAGCCTGGCGCTCTGATCAGTCATCAATAAACACATAGACATTAACAACATCTATAGACTAGGCAAAAGAGGCAATCAACCAACCCAAAAGAGAAAAAAATACTTTAGCACCTTGTCCACCAGTGATTGGCAGTCAGATCAGCATAGATTAACTTCAGACCAACAAGCAAGCAAGCGATACCCCAGTCAAGAAACTGCCAAAGAGCCATCAGTAAACAGCCCAACCAAAGAATCTCTGAGCTATATACATAATCTCCTATTCTTTGCCTAATTACCATTTTAGTTTCTTTTTATTCTTATATCTATTGTGGAGAGAAGGGAAATGAAAACATATTAATTCGTAATAAGAATAATGAAAGAAATATGCAATGGTAATGTAATAAGAAAATATATATAGAAACGTGATAAAGAAACGTAAACGATGTCTTGACACTGACATAATGATACATATAATTTTATTTTATGTTTTTAAAATTTGAAAACTGAATAAAGTTTATAAAAAGACAACACAAAGAATCTGTAAGACCCATCCTCATACAGATAGGCGAGACACCAGAGTATAAACTGACAGCAAACTGCACTCTTTGCTAGCACTGGTGATGTTACCTAGCTAGGATAATGAAACATCTGCAAGAAAACAAACAAACTCAGAGACCCCTCAGGGACCCCTCATGTCACCCCCGAGCCCCAAATATTCTTCTTTATTAGATGCAGAGTGCTGGTTCCTACACTAGCTGCCATGCTCACCCAAAAGTAAACACGGGGCTGATTTTATTATTGCATTTTATTATTGTTAAATCGATATGCCACCCATCTTGCTCTGCCTTTTTAGGACCTGCCAAATTCTCAACATGATGCTCAGGAAGTTCAATTTCCCATCCGTGGCTCTCCACTCGATGATGAAACAGGTAAGTCAATGATGGCCACCAGTGGCTGCCCAGAGGAGGGAAGATCGGCGCTCAAGGCCGATTCCTCGTCGTCTTCTGCCATTTTGCCTCCTTGAAGCATTTTTTCCCCACCCGTGCCAGCGCCAAGCCTCCATGGAGCATAAGAAGGACCATGGACCCTATCCCCCACCCCTCCAAGGAAGTTTCTGAGCTGCATCTCCAATTGTGCTTCTACACAGAGAGAGGGTCCCATCCAGAGGTGGTCTTCAGCAGGTTCTGACCAATTCTGGAGAACCGGTAGCGGAAATTTTGAGTAGTTCAGAGAACCGGCAAATCCCACCTCTGACTGGCCCCACCTACCCCCATCTATTCTCCGCCTCCCATTGAGTCCCAGCTGATCGGCTGGCTCTTCTTTGGTTGCCCTGAACAGGAGAACGGAGCTGGAAGGCAGGTTGGTGGGATTTTAAATTTTTTTTACTACCGGTTCTGTGGGCATGGCAGGGGAAGGATACTGTAAAATCTCCAGTCAGAGGTGGTCTTTGCTGGTTCTCCGAACTACTCAAAATTTCCAGTTCTCCAGAACTGGTCAGAACCTGCTGAATGCCACCTCAGGTATTATATAAAGCAGGTTAGTGGGGCGGGGAGAGAATGGGGATTTTGCAGTCTCCTTCCCCTGCCACGCCCAACAAGCCATGCCCAGAGAACCTGTAGTAAAAAAAAAAATTTGAATCCCGCCAATGGTCCTATCACTCAGTGAATAAAGCAACTTCACATGTAGGGATTTCCAGGTTGACTTCCCAGCATCCCAAGTAAAGCAGATCCTTTGGCCTGCAGAGTCCTCTCGTCTCATCCGAATCCCCAGAGGGAAAGCAAGCTTGATAAAAAGCGCTTGCCAGCGCTAACGTTGTTCTTTTTCCTTCTCTCTTTTTGCGGGCTCAGAAACAACGTTTTGCAGCGCTGGCAAAATTCAAATCGAGTGTCTTTAAGATCTTAATAGCTACTGATGTAGCTGCCAGGTGAGTGAAGCCGGTCTGGCACTAAAATAGGTCCAGAAGGGTGTGTGTGTGTGTGTCCCAGGTTAGGTAGGATGCCAAGCTTAACCATCTTCCTCTCTGTGTTCAATCTCTTGGATTTAGGGGGCTCGACATTCCCACCGTCCAAGTAGTCATCAATCACAACACGCCTGGACTCCCCAAAATGTACATCCACAGGGTGGGCCGAACAGCTAGAGCAGGTAAGGGGAATACGCTCGTCCTTTTAGTCTGACTTGTTTCTCTCTGGAAGCAACATAAATCCTTAAGGGTTGCGCGCTCTGCAACTTCAGAGACCACTTTGACGGACATTTGAACTGGCCTTATAGAAAGAGGCCTCCCTCTGGGATTCCCCACTTGCTAGGGCTTGGGAGCGTCCTTGCCCAGAATGCAGAATGCTGTTTGTTCTGTAGGTTGTGCTGGAATGTTCTTCTCGCTGGAATTTTTCCATGTGCCGACATGCTTTTTTCTTCGTATTCATCCTCAAGTCCTCAACTTATCACCGTAACTGAACCGAGAATTGTCATTGCAAGTCGAGGTTGTTAAGCGGGTCACCAGTTGATCACGCCCATGACCTTTTTCATCAGTTGTTAAGCAAATACCATGGTTATTAAGGGAACCTGTTTTCAACAATGAGCATTTTTCTGCAGTAAAAATTAAAAAGCACAGTCATGTCATTGTAGGTTGCTGCAAAATAGCCATAAATGTGAGCCGGTTGCCAAGCACCTAAATGCAGTCTCGTGACCAGGTGGCAGGGAGGTTGCAGCCCTCGTAACTTTGAAAAAAAGGATAGCTCTGGGAAAATCCGTTGTAACTTCAAATGGTTGCTAAGTGAGGATACCCGTATTTCATTTCTCAGTCAGAACGCCCCCAGGGCAGTGGTGGTATTCTACTGGTTCGTCCCAGTTCTGGAGAGCTGGTAACAGCGATGAGCAGCGGAGACCGAACCAGTTCTCTCCGCCACTCTTGCTGTTGGGCCTACCCACCCGCCCGGGCTCCTATACTCACCTTTATCTGCTGAATTTGAAGCGCTGCTGTTTTGCATGGCACAGAAGAGTGCCGCACTGCAGCTGCTGAAATGACTGGGATCATGCAGGCTTGCAGGCTTGCAGGAGGTGAGTTAGAATGCCTCTGCGCCTGTGCAAAGTGCGTGTTTGGCATGTGTGCACGCGCAAAAAGCGTGCCCACCAAGCCATGCCCACTGAACCGGTGGCAAAAATATTTGAATCCCATCACTGCCCCCAAGCAGTACAGTACAGATAATAGCAATAGCATTTAGACTTATATACCGCTTTATAATACTTTACAGCCCTCTCTAAGTCATCCTGTTGCCCCCAACAATTTGGGTCCTCATTTTACCCACCTCGGAAGGACGGAAGGCTGAGTCAACCTTGAGCCTGGTGGGATTTGAACTGCCAAATTGCAGGCAGACGGCGGTCAACAAAAGTAGCCTGCAATACTGCACTTTAACCATTGCGCCACCATGGCTTCTCACCTCGTTCTTGTTTAATCCTTGTTTAATCCTGGTAATTGGGATCAGAATAATGTTTAGTGATGGTGGTTCCAGGAGTTCTGGTTGCTGTCGTTAAGCTAATCTTACACTGTCACATGCTCACCATTTCTGACTTCCCGCTGGCTTCCCCATTGACTTTGCTGATTGGAAGCTGGCATTGAAGGTTGCAAATCAGGACAGGTGGCCACAGGACAGTGCGAAGGCTGCCACTACAAGGAAAGGCCTAGGAACCACTTGTTCAGCACTGTTGTTAAGTTCAAACAGCCACCGAGCAAGTAGCAAGTAAGCAAGGATTAATTGTACTTAGTTAATAATACAGTCAGCCTTCCCTTCTTTCTCATTTTTCTTGTTTTAGATGGACAGTTTCATCTGTTGCAATAAAATATTCTTTATTGGCCAATTGTGGTCGGACACACAAGGAATTTGTGATGCAAAAGCTCTCAGTGTGCATACAAACAAAGTAATGAAAACAAGCTACTGATAGGACAAGGTAGTAGGAAAGATGAGAAGGAAATAGTAATAAACCTCTACTTCATGGGTAAATATTTTTAGATATGAGACAATATGATGGTAATTAGCTGTTCAGCAGAGGGATGGAACGAGGAAAAAAACTGTCTCTGTCTAGTTGTTTTGGCATATGATGCCCTATAATGGCGTCCTGAGGGGAAGAGTTGAAACAATTTATGTCCAGGATGTGACAGGTCTGTAAGATATTTTCTCAGCCTTCTTTCTGATTTGTTGGGTCTCATTTTAATTCTTTGTTACTTATGCATACTTATGGTCCTGAATTAGAGTAAAGATTATTATTTCCTCTTCCTTCAGCTTTAATCACCACAGATGTGTGGTTTAGATCAGGGGTCTCCAACCTTGCACCTTTAAGACTTGTGGACTTCAACTCCCAGAATTCCCAGAAGCTTTCCTGGCTGAGGAATTCTGGGAGTTGAAGTCTACAAACAAGTCTTAAAGTTGCCAAGGTTGGAGACCCCTGATTTAGATCACAGGTTGTGGGCCATGTTTGGGTTTGGTTAAGTACTCAAGGGAGGTGCATGCTGTTAGGGATACACCCTAGCAGAATCTGCACGGCAGGCAGGCAGGCAGGCAAAATATGTGAGATAAACGTTTTTGTAGCTTACACTCAGTAAAACAGATACACCGTGCTAGTTAAATAGTTTATTCCAGCAAGAGTTTTAGCATAGTCAAAAAACAGTCCATATATCATTCACTAATTCAGTCCGTCCGGGGATTATTCAGTTGCAAATTCCAGTGTCGAAAAAGAGGTCAGTAAACTTACAAATATCAGTCCAGGAATATATCTCATCACAGTAGAGATATGAAGAAGTCAAAACTCCTTTCTTCCTTCAGCAACTCAGCAGTAGGGAAAACACACAGTTAACAAACCATCAATCCATCAAACCAGTCAATCGACAGGAATCGTCAGCAATTGTCAGGTTCTCTTGCTCCCTCTTATGGCGGTTTCACACCGCACCCAAAATTACATGCTTTGCAGTTTAAAGTGGCACACACTTAAACTTACAATCATAGTTTATATATATTATTTTACCCAAACTATGTTAGGTAACACATGCCACTCATGGAAATCTACTATAGTAGTCCTCAACTTACAACAGTTTCTTTAGTGACAGGGGAAAAAATATTTACGACCATTTTTCACACTTATGACAATTGCAGCATCCCAATAGTCACCTGATCAAAATTTCAGATGCTTGGCAAAACTGGTTCATATTTACGACGGTTGCAATGTCCCACCTTTTGCGACCTCTAGACAAGCAAAGTTGAATGGGAAGCCGGATTCACTTAACAACTGTATTAGTAACAACTGCAATGGTTCACTTAACAACGGCGGCAAGAAAGGTTGTAAAATGAGGCAAAACTCACCTAACTGCCCAGCTTGACAACAGAAATGTTGGGTTCCAACATTGTGGTCGTAAGTTGAGGACTAGCTGTTCTATCTAGAGCCGGCTTTCTTAATGGAAAGGGAGGAAGAACCATCTGTGCCCACTGCTTAGGACTCTCTCTCTCTCATGACCACTCTTTTCAGGTCGGCACGGAATTGCCATCACGCTGGTCACCCAGTATGACATCCATCTCGTCCACGCGATTGAAGAACAGATCAGTAAGTTGCAAAATGTTGGAAAATTTTCGGGTGGGTGGGGAGGCTTGAAAAATCCGTCAGATACTAGTTTCGCTTGCTACCATAGTTGGCAGCATGGCTGGCTGTGGAATTCTGGAAGTTGAAGTCCACAGGTCTTTCAAAATTGCCAAGGTTGAATACCCCTGGGTTAGAAAGTGCCAGCCTCCGCTCCTCCTTTCGGCCAAAGATTTGTATGCAACAGCAACAACCACAAAAAAAGGTACTGAAGCTAGAGATTTAGAGGACGACGTTTATCCTTATCACTGGGTTAAAACAATACTTTTTATTTTATTCTTGTTTTTGACTGCCTTCTATTATACACTGCTCAAAAAAATAAAGGGAACACTTAAACAACACAATATAACTCCAAGTCAATCACACTTCTGTGAAATCAAACTGTCCACTTAGGTAGCAACACTGATTGACAATCAATTTCACATGCTGTTGTGCAAATGGAATAGACAACAGATGGAAAGCATAGGCAGTTAGCAAGACTTCCTCAATAAAGGAGTGGTTCTGCAGGTGGTGGCCACAGACCACTTCTCAGTTCCTATGCTTTCTGGTTGATGGTTTGGTCACTTTTGAATGCTGGCGGTGCTTTCACTCTAGTGGTAGCATGAGACGGAGTCTACAACCCACACAAGTGGCTCAGGTAGTGCAGCTCATCCAGGATGGCACATCAGTGTGAGCTGTAGCAAGAAAGTTTGCTGTGTCTGTCAGCGTAGTGTCCAGAGCATGGAGGCGCTACCAGGAGACAGGCCAGTACATCAGGAGATGTCGAGGAGGCTGTAGGAGGGCAACAACCCAGCATCAGGACCGCTACACCTTTGTACAAGAAGGGACAGGAGGAGCACTGCCAGAGCCCTGCAAAATGACCTCCAGCGGGCCACAAATGTGGATGTGGCTGCTCAAACGGTCAGAAATGGACTCCATGAGGGTGGTATGAGGGCCCGACGTCCACAGGTGGGGGTTGTGCTTAGAGCCCAACACTGTGCAGGACATTTGGCATTTGCCAGAGAACACCAAGATTGGCAAATTCGCCACTGGTACCCTGTGCTCTTCACAGATGAAAGCAGGTTCACACTGAGCACATGTGACAGATGTTACAGGGTCTGGAGACACCATGGAGAACGTTCTGCTTCCTGCAACATCCTCCAGCATGACCGGTTTGGCAGTGGGTCAGTAATGGGGTGGGGTGGCATTTCTTTAGGGGGCCGCACAGCCCTCCATGTGCTCGCCAGAGGTAGCCTGACTGCCATTAGGTACTGATATGAGATCCTCAGACCCCTTGTGAGACCATATGCTGGTGCGGTTGGCCCTGGGTTCCTCCTAATGCAAGACAATGCTGGACCTCATGTGGCTGGAGTGTGTCAGCAGTTCCTACAAGACGAAGGCATTGATGCTATGGACTGGCCCGCCCGTTCCCCAAACCTGAATCCAATTGAGGACATCTGGGACATCGTGTCTTACTCCATCCACCAACGCCACGTTGTACCACAGACTGTCCAGGAGTTGGGGGATGCTTTAGTCCAGGTGTGGGAGGAGATCCCTCAGGAGACCATCCGCCACCTCATCAGGAGCATACAGGCACGTGGAGGCCACACACACTACTGAGCCTCATTTTGACTTGACTATTTTCAATGCCATTGTAAGTTCGAACGGTCATTAAACCAAGTCGAGGACTACCTGCATAGCGTGAAATGGCAGAGACGCTCAAGATGTACAAGGGATGGAAAAATGGAGCTTTGGGGTGTTTTTTTTTTTTTTACCATGTCAATGTGTGGCTTACCCCCCTTTTTTTAGAAATGAAGCTTCAGGAGTTTTCTGTGGAGGAACAAAACGTGCTGAAAATTCTCACCCAAGTGAATGTCGTCCGACGGGAATGTGAGATCGTAAGTGGGGGGGAGGGGAGAGAGAGGGAGGGAGGGAGTTGGTTCCCAGGGCCCCAAATGGACAAGTGAGGATTTGGAGGCTGATAGACTCTGTTCCAGTCCACTCCTTTTGCTGGTCCTCCGTAAGGATAGGAGGGGAGGGGAGGAGAGAATAGAATTCTTTCTTGGCCAAGTGCGGTTGGACACACAAGGAATTTGTCTTCGGTGCATAAGCTCTCAGTGTACGTAAAAAGAAAAAAAACATACATTCATCAAGAATCATAAGACAGAACATTTAAGTGATAGTCACAGGTTACTCATAAGCAACCAGATCATACTAGGAAACAAAACAATATAAATTGTAGAGATACAAGCAACAAGGATATAGTCATAAGTGGGAAGAGATAGGTAATAGGAAGGATGAGGAAAAGAATAGTAATACAGTCTTAGTGAATAGTTGGACGGTATTGTGGGAATTATTTGTTTAGCAGAGTGATGGCATTTGGGGAAAAAATTCCCCTTGTGTCTAGTTGTTCTGGTGTGCAGGGCTCTATAGAGTCCTTTTGAGGGAAGGAGTTGAAACAGTTTATGTCCGGGATGCAAGGGGTCTGTAGATATTTTCACAGCCCTCTTTTTGACTTAGGCAGTATACAGGTCCTTGATGGAAGGCCGGTGGGTAGTAATTGTTTTTTTCTGCAGTCCTAATTACTCTCTGAAGTCTGCCTTGTTTGGTAATCCCATGATGTGTGTTCTTTTTTTTTTTAAAAAAAAAAAAACAACCTCAGAGACTGGAAGCAACTGATTTTGATGAGAAGAAGGAAATAAACAAGCGGAAGCAGATGATCCTGGAAGGAAAGGTAAGGTGGAAGCTGCCAGGGCAGGCAGTGGCTAAGCGGGAATCACCCCAGTCCTGTCCCTCCCATCAGTGGAGGTTTGGAGATCAGAAGCAACCGATGGGTCTCCAACCTTGGCAACTTTACGACTTGTGGACTCCAACTCCCAGAATTCCTCAGACAGCACATGCCAAGGTTGGAGACCCCTACGACAGAACACACTACCAAGAACTTATTGACAGGGCAGGCCACTGATATATAAACAAAGGCCAAACCCCTCTCCCTTCTAACACGGATGATATTACCTACTTGGGTAATGAAATATCTGCAAGAAAAATACCAAATTCAGAGAGGGCACCAAGGACCCTACTCTTTTCCTTTTTGGGATTGTTTTTTTTTTTCATCCTTGGTTTGCTTTGACCCAAAGCACAACTGCTATAAAACAAGCAAGCAAGCTTGCCGGTCACTATGGTTTGCTGTGAGTTTCCATCTCTGGTTTATCCAAAGATAACCATGGTTAGTGCATGGCTGGGTTTGTGCAGTGTGCTAAACCACGGCTTCAGAATAAGCACACTGGTTAGCCATGACACAGGCTGCTAGATACGATCTGCCAAGCATAACGTGTGGCTTTACAGCCAACACATTAAGGTGGAACCAGCCTACGTTATTAATGTGAACTTAGTCTTAACACAGTAGTGGCTGTGAAATCCGTGTCTCCATGAAGTGGTGATGCTTGGGGACAGCGGTGGGATTCAAATTTCATAACAGTCGGTTCTGTGGACGTGGCCTAATTTCTGGGTGTGGGTTGGTGGTCCTGTGACTGGCTGGGCATGGCTTGTATGTAAATATTATAAATATATAAGTAAAGATTGAATTTTTTATTTTTTTTAAAAAGAGCAACCTTTACCCAAAATCAGGCAAAGCAGGCAGGCAGATTGAGCTGCTTGCAGAATCACAGATTCACTCAGAGATCTACCTTTCTGCAATCTGCTGCCTGAGTCTGCACTGAAAACTAGAAGCTTCAATCCTAAGGAAGGTTCAGCTCTGCTCTCAGGCCACTTCTCCCTCCCCCAACCCCCTGAATACCACCCCTGATTGGGCCTCAGGGAAGCCTCCTCGGTGGGGGTGGGTGGGGAAGAGAGCGGCCAGCTAATGGTGTGATTTGCCGGTTCTCTGAACTGCGCAGAATCGTAACAACCGGTTCTATAGAACCGATCCGAACTGGTAGAATCCCACCCCTGGTTGGGGAACAAGACAGTTTTGGGGAGAAGAAAGGCAAATACTTACAGTAAGGTGGGATTGGAGGGTTTGAGAAGGAGGAGCAGTTGGGGACAGTGGTGGGATTCTACCAGTTCGGCCGAACCGGTAGTAAAAACATACTACTGTTCGGCCAAACCAGTATTTCCTTTTTGTTTTTCCTCCTGATGATCGGCTGGGCCAGGAATTCCACCTCACTGTCTTATTGCTTCATGCAGGAGGCTTCCCTGAGGCCCAGGAGGCCAAAAAAATGGAGCGCGTGAGGGAGCCGCGCCCCCCCCCCCACGCTCCGTTTTCTGCCTTCAAGGCCTTCAGGGAAGCCGCCTGGGAGCAAAGATGTCCCCCCAGGAGGCTTCTCTGAGGCCCAGGTGGGGAAAAAAAACCCGGAGGGAGGGGCACTGCATGTACACAAAAAGCCACGCCCGCCCAGTCACATGGCCACGCCCACCTAGCCACGCCCACAGAACCTGTAGTAAAAAATATTTGCATCCCACCCTTGGTTTGGGGGCTCTTGCCTACGAGGGCTGCTTCTGGGCATCTTGGAATCTTTTTTTTCCCTTCTCCCGGCAGGACCCTGATCTGGAGATGCAACGGAAGGCCGAGCTGGCCAAGATTAAGAAGAAGAAGCTCAAGTTCCAGAGCCAAGTCCACCAGACCCTGCAAGAGAGACGGCAGAAGCAGCTCCAGCACAGGCTGAAAAAACGGGCACGGCGGCAGAAGCCGGCAGGGGCGGCGAACTGAGGCCGCTCGTCCTCCCGCCTTGGGTGGCAAAGGACCCTAGTGGGGAACAATCTGCACCTGAGCTGCCTCTGCCCCAAATTCGCCTTGCGTAAAACTTGGTTAACTTTGGCCCTTCTGTGAATGGACCTGAAGCACCGGGAGCAAAAGTCTCGGGAAAAGAACGTTAGGCAAGTTGGAGAAGTTGCTTGGCTGCCTAGAGACCAAGGAATGTCTCTTTGAGGCCGTCTTCTTTTCCAAAAACGAGACTTTCAGTTGGGCTGAACCCTTGGGAGACAAAAAGTTTTCAAGTCTCACCAGGCAGTTGTGCCACCGAGTAAAGGTTGGTGATTTAGGGGTGGATCCTTTTGATGGGAGCAGGCTCTGTTTTGGGGGGGTCACCAGAATCTCATGGCCATGCCAGGCAAATACTGGCTAGTAAACCGTGTGCTTTCAATAAATCCCTCTCTATGATGACAGGGAAAGACGAGGCTTTAAGTGTTTTATGCAAGCCTGGCTGCAGTCTTTGGGTTTGATTGTAACATTTTTCCAAAATGATTTAGACCATTTCCAAATAACATTCTACAATCGGAGCCTGTGCACGAGGGGCATTTCGTATTCTTACCTCTACTTGAGATTTTAGTCCCTTGCTCCCTTTTCCGTAGGACTTTGGATGGGTGCAAAAATAGGGTTTGTCAAATATACAGTTTGTCCAACGTTACAAAAAGTGATTTATGTCTGCACTTTTCATGGGGGAAGACTCTGGCTTTATTTATTTATACTATGTTCACTATCCAAAGCAACTCTAAGCGGCTTAAGATGCCATAAAGACAGAAATGTAAGAACTATTATAATTTTAAAAGCACAGATTAGTACCCAAGCATCTGATCTTTCTTCCCACACCAATATGTTATGACGATGCAGGGCGTTTAACGTTTGTGGTATTTTGGATTCCAAATGCCCCCTTTGGGTCATTTTGGAATGATTTCCAGCTTAAGACCCTTTCCAAGTGATTCAAACAACCTGTTTTAACATCGGTATAGGAGGGCAGAGGTAGGCAACAATGCCCACTGGACACTGCAGGGACTTCCAACTCCCAGAATTCTATGCTGGCTCAAGAATTCTGGGCGTTGGGAGTCCACAGGGTGTAAAGTTGTCATAGTTGGCCACCCCGGTATAGGATTTTTGTGTTTGCATAACTTCTGGCATTCAGAATGCAAAACTCTGGGTGTAAATGTTGGAAAATAATTATTTATGTGACTAGCAAGCCCCCCACCCCCTTGAGTTACACTGAAGACCCCCAGTGCAGATTTGATTTGTGGATCTTCTATCAGCTCCAACATTTCAGCGTCTCACACCCAGTGGGAGTAGCCTATCCCCCCTGTACTGGCAGAGGGGGCATGCTGCAGACCCCGTTGGTCAAAAGAGTTTTGGCTGGTGGAGTCCAAGGGAAAAGCCTTTTCTGTTGTGACTCCTACCCTTTGGAACATCATGTGTCGTCATCTCTCCCTTCCCCTCCCCCCAGTGAAATCCCCCTCCCCCTTTGGCCTTCCAAAAGGCTTGAAGACTTGACTCTGCCAGCTGGTCTTGAGGAGCCACATCTGGGAGGTGGTTAATGGATTAAGCAGATCCTCACCTCCTCCCCGTGTTCGCTTTGCTTTCTTCTCCCCATCTTGGTTAATTTACGCTCTTCGTTACGTGTTCTTTTCATGAGTGGCTGTAAGCCACCTAGAGCTGCGTCTGTGAGGTGGGCAGCAGAGAAGATTAATAAATATTTATCAAATATTATAATAAATAAATACGCACATACATACATACTCCATGTTTTTGTGGCTAGCTTGGAGTCCCATCCCGCCTTGTGCTGAAAGGACCAAAATTAGTCTTTCATCATCATCATCATGAGCCACGGTGGCGCAGTGGTTAGAGTGCAATACTGCAAGCTACTTCTGCTCCAGCCAGCTGCCTGCAATTTGGCAGATCGAATCTCACCAGGCTCAAGGTTGACTCAGCCTTCCATCCTCCCGAGGTAGATAAAATGAGGTCCCAGATTGTTGGGGGCAATAAACTGCAAACTCTGTAAACCCCTTAAGAGAGGGCTGTAAAGCACTGTAAAAAGGTATATAAGTCAAAGTGCTATTGCTGTTCTCAACCTTGAGTACTTTAAGATGTGTGGGTTTCAACTGCCAGAATTCTTCAGCCAGCATGGTTGGCTGGCAAATTCTGGTAATTGAAGCCCACACATCTTAAAAAGTGCCCAAGGTTGAGAAACACTGACCTAAATTCTTTCTTAACGGCTGGTGCTGTTCTGCAGTTTTAACCCAGTTCTTGGGGAATTACCAAATTTCCTCTGGAAAGGGGAGGAAAAAAAAATCTTCCAGGAGAAACCTTTGCAGATGGATTTGGCCCTTAGTTTTTACGAAAAGCCCGATTGTTTTCTGTTCCCTAAATGCCAAGATGCCACACCCTGATCTTGTTCTTAGCTTCCTTTGCTGGATGAGATGAAAGAGAATGGGCCCTTTTTCATTCCGCCAAGCATCGAGCATCATTTCTCATCGTTCCTCCTTGCGTCCTTTTTAAAAGATGCTGCTCTCTTCCTCGAGCGTGCAGAAAGCGGAGAGGGAGGGAAGTTTTCATGAGCTGGTCTGATGGAGGCTCTCTGTTCAGCGTTTCATTTCAGCTTTTGATCCGCCTGCCTCTTCTTGCGTCCTCCTATTGATCTCCTGTGTGTTTTTCCCACTAGAGCAAACATGACAGGTCAGGTGGTTCGCACGCACGCTGTTTGCTGCCTGCTGTGGATGTGGGCTGGGTTTCAGTCGTTGCCGTTCCTCGGTGCCCAGACTCACAACCTCGTTGGCATGCCAGCTGCTTTCTGATCTCTCTTCTCTTCAGGGTTTCTTGCAGGGGTTCCCTTGGATGGGTTGCCATGGACACCGTTCCCAGGGCAAGCATCTCTTTTCTGCACGCGCAGCTTTGCAAAAGCCGGTCCTCCTTTCCGACACGATCTTTCCCATCCGCCCAGGAGCATCTATTGCGCTGTAGTGGTTTCCCCAGCCTTAGCAGCGAAGGCCAATAAATGCCCCCCTTCCACCTGCAGAGAAATCGTTGAGCCATTCAGAGATTTGGAGGAATCTTACCCTGTCCCCCCAAAAAAGCTGTTCACAACGGCAAGCGGAGAATTGAATCTTAGTTTCTTTCAATTACTTGGTTGATTATGCGGTGTGTGTGTGTGTGCGTGAATGCTTTCCAACACTTTATTGTCCTTCTCATTTTTGGTTTTGTGGGAGCCTTCATGGCAGGGTAAATGGAAGCAAGCTTTTTTTTTCTTCTCTGACTTTTAATTATTTCCTGCAAGACGGCTGGGATTGTCGCTCTTTAACACAGCAGCGTAGGTTCGCAATTCGGAGTGGGGCGGACATGAGGAGTCTTGGAAAGCTATTTGAAACATACTTTATTAAAAGCATAAAGCTTTTTGGAGCTGCAGCTCACTTCCTCGGATGCAGAGCGTGGAGCAAGACCGATGGAAGATTTATTTTTGCCAAAATTGGCTGCCTCCTCCCTCAATCTAATTCAGTGTTGTCTCAACTGCAGTAACTTGAAAGTGTTTGGACTTCAAAGCTGGCTGGGGAATTCTGGGGGTTGAAGTCAAAACACCTTCAAGTTACTGCAGTTGAGAAACGCTTGAGTTAGCCAGTCTATATCATGTAGGTGATAAATCACAGCTCATGAAAGCTAATCCCTTTTAATAAAAATTTGTTTGTCAGAAAAGATGCCACTACACCATACACACACCATTTTTGGCTATCCCAGCTCTCCAATAAAAGTAGCCAACCTCTTCAAGAATTTCAGTGGACTAGCTGGGGCATTCTGGAAGTTGGAAGTCCACCCATCTTAAAGTTATTAAGGTTGAGAAAGTCTACTTCAGTTCCCAGCTGGACAGCTGGACACTCGAGTCCGGAGTCCTTTTGCTGCCCTTGCCTAGCTACAAAGAGCAGCAAGGAGGAAGGATCCTGATCAAAGTTGAAGCAGGATGGTGATCTGAACGGTTAAATCCTAACTAAATAGGAAGCAAGAACCAGTGGTTGGGTTCATAATGTCCTCAGGGAAATCAGGAAAACTGGGGTGTGGTTCAAAGTGTTGTGGGGATGAAGAAGTAGAATTTGTGTGATGGTCCCTGGATATTTCAGTGGAATGCTGTAACCGAGTCTAAACTCAGTTTTTCTGTCTCTGTTGGCCCCAAAGACTGTTTGCCCTCCTTAGTGGTAGTGGGAGCAGAGGTATTAGATTCCATACCCTCCAGTTAGCACTGATGACGTTACCTAGTTTGGTAATGAAACGTCTGCAACAAAACCACCAAACTCAAAGAGCACCAAGCAACCTCACCTATCAGATACCTATATCCTCCACAGCCCCTGGCAGGATTATTTTTATTTTTTGCTCTCACGGTTTTGTGAAATCCACAGGCTGCATAAACCAAGCTGGTTCCCTGAACAAGAGGATTTTAGAGTGGCCAGTTGGCCTGGAAAAGGGTTCCAGAGCATGCCAGCCTTGCAAAACGCTGCTTCTGGACCTCATTCAGGCTGCCCTCACAGTATTAAACCTGCAACACTCCAGAAGGAAAGCTGCTCCTTCACTTTTGTGCTGTTAAATAATTAAAAGTAGACCTGAATAAGTCAAAAGATCTCCACAAATAGCATCAGCTGAGACCCCTCCTTATTGCAGAGGTCCGCCACGCTCCCACTCCTTTTGGACCAGCTGCAAAGCCAGATTCTGGCACCACGAACTGCTATAAAACCCCGGGCAGAACATGTAATTGCTTTTAAATCAAGTTGCAATTTCACGCCCCAGGTTTTCCATTTTATATTCCTACCCTTGGCAGCGGCTTTCGTAGGAAGTTTTGCCGCTAAAGATTTCCGGGAAGATGGTGGGAAGAGAAGGAGCCACACAAGTCAGGCTGCCCATGTGACGGCCGCTTGTTTGCATTTTGCGGAGGGTATTTTAGTGGCGGACTTTTCCATCTGTTTTGGGCTGGAGAAGTGAAGTAGAACAGAATAGTAGAGCTGGAAGGGTCCAAACCTCTGATCAGGCAGGAGGCCCTATATCAGGGGTGTCCAACCTTGGCAACTTTAAGACTTGTGGACTTCAACTCCCAGAATTTTGCTGGCTGAGGAATTCTGGGAGTTGAAGTCCACCAGTCTTAAAGTTGCCAAGGTTGGACACCCCTGCCCTATATCATTTCGGACAAAGGGTTGTCCAATTTCTTCTTAAAAACTTCCAGTGTTGGAGCACGCACAACTTCTGGAAGCAAGAATTTGATTGTTGACTGACTGTTCTGTCGGAAATTCCTCCTCAGTTCTCGGTTGCTTCTCTCCTTGATTAGTTTCCACCCATCGCTTCTTGTCCTGCCCTCAAATGCTTTGGAGAACAGGTTGGCCTATTCTTCTTTGTGGCAACCCTTGAGATATTGGAACGCTGCTATCATGTCATGTCAAGTGGAGCAGATCAGAACAGAAGGCGCTGGACTAGGGGATGGCCATGCTTGGCACTTTGTTGGCTGGGTTGGCTCTTCTGCCTCGCTGACTCTACCAGGTGGCTGAATTCAACTGTGATGGAAGACGGTCCTTTCCGGTACCCCCTATTTTGGGGGGCTTTTGCTGTTGGATGCCTTTGGTCTTGCCCGGTTCCTAACTGCACCGTCAACTTGTCTTGCTGCTGAATGCAGGGGGGGGGGTGGGGGGGGGGGGGCAATGGCCAGATGGGTTGGGGTTACATTAAAGTGACAGGTTACTGTTGTGACTCAGAGGTTTGAACCTGCTCTGTCAGAAGACATAGGCTCGAATGATGAGGAAGATCTGGCATTAAAGTTTGAGCCTGCTTTGTTGAGTGACATAGACGGGAGTCAGGAGGAAGAGGAGGACTTGGCTCTAAGATTTGAGCCTGCTTTGCTGGAAGTTTCGGAGTCGTCTTCCTCCCCAGAATCTTCCTCCCTGATTGTGCCTCAGGTGTCGGCAGATAATCAGGAGAGCGTGCCGGAGTCATTGGCTGAGGATCAAGCCAAGGAATGCTAGTCTGATGCAAGGCAAAGACGCAGGCAGAAACGTGAAATACAACGTAAAAAGAAATGTCAAATCAGGGACTGAGAAAAGAGACTGACACGCCCCTCAGGGAATATAAGGAGGCGTGTTAGCTCTGAATCCCTGTTCGGGTCAACTTGTTTATTTGATTTAGCAGTTCGGACAAAATTATTCTGTGTGGCGTTCGCCTCTGATTTATGGTTCTGCTCGTTATCAGACTTGGTAGGCAGCTTCTGGGAAAACTGCCAAAGACGGATTCAGCCAAAGGAAGTTAACTCTGTCGTTCCTGTTTCTGTCTGTCTGTGTATTTTCCTTTGGAAATTTGGACTCTCACCTTGTGGCTACAGGTGAGACAGAACAGGTTACTATGGACTCCCTTTACCCCAGAGGCCCCTTTGCCTTCCCTCTGGCAGCCCCAAGAAGGAAGAGAACAATACGGGTCTATCTGTTGGTTAAGTTCTCAGCTGCTGGGTGAGCTCATCCATCCCCATGGAGTAGATCATCACCAGTACACAATATCTCTGCCCCTGCTGAATTAACCAGCATTCGTGAACCTCTTGTCCCGCTGCCTGGAGGCTGTGAGGATCTGGACAAACTTTAGCTGAACACTGATCAGACCGAGCGGTTTTGGATTTGGGGGGGTGGAGGGGGCTGCCAGGTTGTATGCCATCGTTGATCCCTGGATGGGGTTCCACTGCACCCAAACAGACCCCAGTGCACAACCCCGGGGGAGGGGTGTTCCTCCTGAACTCACAACTCCTGCTCAAAGCAGGTGGAAGTTGTAGCTAGGAAGACCTTTGCACAGCTTCATGTTGTGCACCAGTTTTGTGCCTGTT